TTGGTTCTTCCAAATTATCTAGCTCATCTAAATGTACTTTGTAATTGTCTAAGTTTAATATTTAATGTATCTATTTAGATTTTTACCGCATATAATTACATTTTCTTATTTTTTTAGGCGAAAATTTATCAAAAAGACTTGAGAAAAAGAATAAATGCACGGACAACCTACATATATAGTATATATAGTATAATATATGTAAAATATGATAAAATATAGTATATAATATAATTAGTTATATATACGACAGCTTTATGTACAAGAGTTTTATAGAAGAGTTTTATAGAAATAGTGTACAAGTTTTTTCATAGTTCTTTAGTTCCACTTGGTGCCATTTCCTGATATCATATTTTTTTTGTAAGAAGTATATAGGATAGCTTTTTTTGAAAATTTTAATACATATGACAGGTTTTTTTGAAAGGTTTAATATATACGACAATTTTTTTGAAAAGTAAAACAATACTGTTTTGTTTTAGTTGTAACAAGAACGTGTACTTGGCGCCTTTTTTTTATAGATTATACACTAGACTCATATTTAATAACAGAATTGATAAAACTGTCGTTTTTCTTACGGTGCTAAACTAACTGTACATATATCAAGAGACACGGTAGTGTCTCGCGCCAAGTTCACGCGTAGCGCAAGACCGACCGTGTATCTTTACGCGAGCCCGAAAGTTGAGACGAGCCGAGATTATCGGATCTCGATAACGGCTGGGCCGATTGAGTTGGCAATAGGCTCAATCGATAGCGCATACCCAAATTACATCAGAAAAGTCTGCTTGTTTTTGCTCTGTGTGCTTTATAAAAATAAATATATGCATTCAAAGTCGAGAAATCTAGAAAATCATCTCGCTAGGATGTATGTCGCGTTGAGATGTATGTCGCTCGTGTCTTATTGGTCAGCGTCATTCTAACATGGCGGCGCTCAGACCTGTCAGCTCGCAGTTTTGATGTATATATTAATTACATTTATATATTAGTATCGGTCGTAAAATGTATATATAACGTGTTGTGGAGACGAATAAAGATAGTGTATATCAAAATACTATCTACTCATATGTGCAATACAGATTTTTTAATTGTCATCTTTAATTTGTTTTTAATACTTTTGATACAATATATTTAACGATCTTATTCAGTTATTTGCAGTTAACAATATTTTTATAAAGTTATAAAGTATTCTAGTGTATATCAGAAGTGCTAGCTTCTTTTGAAAAGCTTTCAATAGTGCGTTGTTAACAAATACATTGTTTTGCCCAAAGTGCGATTGGACGTAAATTTGCAAGCTGTAACAAAATGCAACGTATTATAAAACTGTGAAAAAATTGGCTGATTTATGCTTTCATTCATTAAATTATAACAGTCATATAACAAAGATAGTAAAAAAATGTTTGATTAATGTAATATAAATATAAGTACACACTGTCAAAAAATTCGGTAAACTTACACAGAGCAAGTGTAAGGATTACATAACAAATAATGAGGAAAAATACTAACTAAATAGTATAAAATTTATAAAATTATGTAACGTTGCAATGTATATTTAGTAAATTTCTGTTATTTATAATGTAATTTTTACATCTAATTTTGTAAATTTATCAATTTTTTTACAATATAGAACGCCACGTTTAAATATGGTATTACCTTATTATGACTACATAATTATGCATCAATCATACTGTTACTTATGATTGTACATCTCCATGATATTTCTGTTATTTCTTATATTTATTTGTGCATTTCGTAAACATGCGTATTAGTTCTCTACGAAACGTTTGTCCCGTTACGCAGTAGAGAACAAAATTTATACTGTAATGTGCTGTTTCTAATAAGCTTGTCATCATAAATATTGTCATCATAACTGACTCATTGACATGTATCTGAAAAAATTATTATTCTTAGTTTTGTTGTACATAACTGTTAATAATAACGTGTCGTATTTTAATGCATGCATTTTTTTACGTGGATATTTAATAAAAAAAAACTATTATATGATGTAATTCACAATATAAAAATTAAACGTCATAAGTTACTTAAAAAAATTTAAATTTTGAGAGAAGAATTGATTAATATTTTTTTGTTATATACAGAATTTTTAGAGTAAATAATCTATATATTGTTGTAGATATTATTTTAAAATAAATTATTGATACGTACCCAACTAATAATGAAATGATAGCAATATGTAGCTAATTTCAAGATTACAAATATGCTCGAAACGAGAATAAGCATCTTTGTGATCTTCTGCTGAAACATTTTATTACTACAAATCTGAGTTTTCTCATTAGAGGAATCGCACGCTGTAATCAAAGTTTTGCGAACACGATTTTGCTGGTAAATGTGGTATACTATCAGAGTATTGCAGATTACTATCACGAGAGCAGGTATTATAAATATTATGATAGAATCTATAATGATCCTTGTCCGTATAGCTTCTTTCTCAACGTCAAATTTTAGATGTTTGTATAAATCATAGATATTTATATAATATTTAAAAGATACTACATTTCTATAATGTAAAATCCGAAAATAAAAAAAAATATGTAGAATGCTGCGCAAAATCGCTGGTCCCATTAGCGTGACCACTACGATTTTTGCTCGTTTGACAGTGCACCAAGATCGACGCAGAGGCGGATACTTCGTCACTATATATCGCTCGATGGTAAAGGCTACTATAAGCCACACATTCAAGAACTCGGAAAAGAAGTTTAGAAAATCCACGAAGTAATATAACCAGTACAAATAATTTTCTTTTAAATTTATACCCATTAGAAGAAACCAGTCAAAAAGTAATATCATCGAATAAACGATGTCGCTTATTGCTAGCGCGCCTAAGTAGAAGTTGGACGAGAGAGAACGCATTTTTTTACGGAAGAGCACACTGGCGGATAAACAGTTTCCTAAAAGACCGAGAATAATAAAAATCGGCAGACTGTACTTTCTTAACCTTGAAGAGATCTTATAATAATCTACAATATAATGTTTTAACCGCAAATAATTATTAAATTCATTTATGACGTAAGTGACGGGAAAAAGTCTGCCTACAATATCTTCGCGTTACATAAATCTTGAAATTTTTTAATTCTGCTTATGTTCACAGATAAAGGAAGCTTTATGATACGTTTTCTATTGACATAATCAATAAAATATTTAGCTATGTTTTGCAAACTTTTGTCAAAGTCTCTTTCGTTGTTACAAACACGCAACCGAAGTTCGTGTTTAGACGTGATAGAATAATTTCTGCCGAGATTTCTTTCAGTAAACATCCTTGCATATGATTATGGATCGTGTGCAACAGTGTTGCTTATGAGATGAAAAGCAAAAAGCGATATGATCAAGTTGCGTCACGCGCCTGAAAAAAAGGCGTTATAACATTATTACATATTAAATTTATTGAAACCAATGAATCTTGCATATAAATTTTATTTTTTGATATATTTATTAAAATAACTTTTTTTAATATTAAGAAGAATAAAATACACAAAATATATATAGTTTTAAGATATATACGTTTTAAATATTATAAAGTGAAGTGTCTCGCGCGCACTATTTCACTTACCTGAGAATCGTTAAAAATTCTGAAGCCTATAAATACAGGGGTACAAACTCTCAGCAATTCCGCGATTTTAATCGTTCAACTGCTAGACACTAACGATTGCAAAAGACTGAATGTCGAGACGACTGTCTTGGATGACGATATTATTTCTTTCTGGAAGTTTGTGGTTTACCAAAATGATTAATATTTGGACTACAATGTTGCTCATATTCGTTGACGTATGAGTTTCCGCAGGAGTCCGTCGCTCTACTAAAGTCTTTATAATAATAAAGAAAAAGAAACACTAAATATTACTAAAATAATACATAAAATTGATTAAAAGCAGAATTTTTTATTTTTTTATGTAAGATATTATATTGAATATAGTTTTTTTATTAGTATAATAATTATGATTGAATGACAACTGTAATTATTGTATATTATGTATTGTATAACGAGAACAACAAAATAATTTACTTTGCGTTGTTTAATTTGTTGTGTGAACGTGTTCCCAGCGCCATTTATGCGCAAGATATGAGTCAGTAGGGACCGCCGGGGTTAGGCAGGAAGGGCCCGGAATTGCGTGTTGGAACACGGTCGCAAGACACTGCAAGAGACACAGAAATATTGTCTACGTGATTATTACGAGTACCAAGGACCTACACGGCACAAGGACGTACATGACGATAACAATACATGGTGTCAGAAGTGGGATCACCGAAAGAGAGTGAAAAAAAAAATCCCAAGAGTGATACAAGTGTGTGATAAGTATCAGCAGGACAAGAAAGAAAAATGCCGCACGACACACAAGAAGCAAAGGCAATTCTGCCTAGTGTACAAACACCTTCGGAGTTTAATTTCGAGAAACCCGAATCGTGGGCGATGTGGTTGAAACGTTTCGAACGATATGTTTCCGTCGCAAATCTCAAGGACAGAGCTGAAAGTGAGAAAATCGACTTATTGCTGTACACGATGGGAGAAAAGGCTGAAGAAATTCTTGCACAAATATCCACAGGAAGCAATTTGGCAACGTTAAGGGCCGTCACAGACAAATTCACGGAATATTTTTCGCCCAAGAAAAATACAATCTTCGAAAGATACAAGTTTAATTCGCGAAAGCAGCAACTGGGGGAGAGTGTGGACTCATTTGTCACAGCATTATACTCTCTCGCTGAAACGTGTGAATATGGCGTGTTAAAAGAAGAATTAATACGTGACCAAATAGTCATTGGTGTGAAAGACGCACGTATCTCAGAGCGTCTTCAATTATCAGCGGACTTAACCTTAGAAAAAGCATTGAACATGGCTCGACAAGCGGAGACACAAGCCAAAGAGGGAAAAATGCTAAGAAAAGAAGCCGAATCGGAACAAAGTAAGTTAAACAGAGTACTTCGCTCGTGAAAATATAAAGGTGAGACAAAGAACTATCCAGAACAGCGCGACAGCAAGAATAAGATGCAGAGAGGAAACGAAATCTGTGGAAGACGCGGCAAGGCGAAACACGCGGATTTCAAGAAGTGCCCAGCACACGAGACAATGGGCTTGTTCGTTTTAGCTACACTGGGGCTGCTCTGGGTCTGCTCTACACAGGATAATACAGGACAGATAAATAGTTTGTCCTGTATTATCTTGTTTAGAGCAGACCCAGAGCTGACCCAGTGCAGCTAAAACGAACAAGCCCAATATGTCACAATTGCCAGAAAATGGGTTATTGGGACAAAATGTGCAAGTCGAAGAAAGTACGCAGAGTCAAGGAACAAGAGGACGACGAAGGCAACGATTCTGATACGTCAACGATATTTTTAGGAACAATACGCGAAAATTTACTGTCTAAATGAGAATTTTTATTTCGTGCGTATGTGAGAGAGTTTTCACAACAGGTAGATTTTATTATAGATACAGGCGCGGATGTTACTTGTATTTCTACTGATACAGTTCCGTGAAAATTAAAAGATAAAATAAGTAAGACAGATAGAGTAATACTTGGACCGGATGGGAAAAGACTATCAGTTGCAGGATATTTACCGTTAAATATAAAAAAAGGAAATATCTCAACAAATTCGAATATATATATATTAAATGGATTAAAACAGAATTTATTAGGAAAACCGGAAATAAGTAAATTTAAATTAGTAAATCAGATCAATTATTTGCAAAGTAAAAGTCTGTCAAGAGTATTGCCGTTTGAGGAATATCCCAAAGTTTTTAACGGATTGGGAGCATTTAAAAGAAAGCTAAAAATTCATCTGAAAGAGGAGTTCAAGCCATTTTTTCAGTCAGTGCCACGTACAATACCAATTCCGCTATTAAACAAACTTAAATTAGAATTAGATAAATTGGTCAAAGAAACAATTATACTTCCGGTTGATTTTCCTATAGAGTGGTGCAGTCCTATTGTAGTAATTCCAAAGAAAGGTACAGATCAGATAAGAATTTGTGGGGACTTTACACAATTAAATAAAAATGTAAAAAGAGCACATTTTCCTATACCAAAAGTAAATGTAACATTATCGAATTTAAAAGATTCTAAAATATTTTCAAAGTTAGATGTTAAAACGGAATTTTATCAAATAAAATTGGAAAAAGAAAGCCAACCGTTAACGACAATAATCACACCTTATGGTAGATATATGTTTACTCGACTACCATTTGGTATTAATTGTTCGCCAGACTATTTCACGCAATGGTACGCTGAGATTTTAAGAGATGTAGCAGGCGTAGAAATACATACAGATGATGTAATAGTACATGGTGCGACAGTGGAGGAGCATGACAAAACACTTCGTACAGTATTAAGTAGGTTACAAAAAGCAGGTATAACGCTAAATAATGATAAATGTGTTTTCGGAACTAATAAAATTGAGTTTCTAGGTCATCAAATAACAGAAGAGGGTATAAGTATTTTGCCAAAGAGACTAGAAGCAATTACAAACTTTGATTCTCCAAAAGACAAAAAGACTCTTATGCAGTTTCTAGGAGCAGTAAATTACGTTAGTAAGTTTGTACCGAATAAATCACACATATTAGAGCCATTAAATTCATTGTTAAAAGATAATGCACAATTTGTTTGGCTAGAATCACAAGAGAAAGCGTTCAACAAACTTAAAACATTATTAAAAACAGCTCCCACATTGTCGCATTATGACTACAGTAAGCAAGTTGTAATACAAGCGGATGCATCCAGTTATGAATTAGGTGCAGCGTTGATGCAGATAGGCAAGAATAATAATCGCGAAATAGTAGCGTATGCGTCTACCACACTTACAGAAACGGAAAAAAGATATAGTCAAATAGAAAAAGAAGCGTTAGCTCTGGCGTATGCGACAGAACATTTCAAAGATTATATAACAAGAATAGATATAATACTGGAAACAGATCATAACCCAGTAAACATCGAAATCTTGTAGACATCGAAAAGATATTTTATTCAAGATGTCTTCAAGATATTTCTAAAAGATATCTAGAAGTTATTTAAAAGATGTCTAAAAAAGTTTCGTTGAAGATATCTTTATAGAATATCTAAAAGATATCTATAGACATCTAAAAGATCTCTTAAAAGATATCTTTAATATATTTTTAATAGACATATTAAAGATATCTAAATGATTTCTCTTAAAATATGTCTTTAAGGCGTTTCTAAAAGATATCTATTATATCTTAAAGACATCTAAAAATATGTCTTTAAATTATTATTTCTAGTAAACAAAATATAATTAAGTGTTATATAATACAGATCATACGTATAATACAATAGATGTGTTGCTCTAATTATTAAAATTATGCGGGCATAACATTTATTTTGATTCCGATTCTGGTTCCGATTTCCAATTTCGAGGTGGCGCGCGACGGTGCCACGATGGTTCGGTCTCTATTTCCGCCGACCACGATCCTAGGCGGACGCGTATTCGATAGAGAACAAAAGTAATTTTCTTTTTTAACTATAACTTTTGTAAGACATTTATAGAATTATATTTCATTTTTATAATATTTGTTAAATATTCATAAAATTACACACACATACACACACACACACCATATTCACAAATTTGAGGTTATATCTTGTACAATGCCAAAGCCGCATAGCAAATTGTAAGCCTTGTTCATTTTGTCTCTCGAGGACTGCTCGGAGTTTTACATTACATTGATTGCTTACATTTTAATTTACTACGCAGCTTTAGTAT